GGTATTTCACAACTGTATTTTGATTAATAATAAATAGTACTGACCAGTTTATTTGGATTTTCAATCTGAAGTGACTGTAGAGGACCTTGCTTGGTGCGAGTAATATCTCACTCACTATATGCCACTTCACTAATGCCTAGGTATGGTGCTAGTAATATCTCACTCACTATATGCCACTTCACTAATGCCTAGGTATGGTGCTAGTAATATCTCACTCACTATATGCCACTTCACTAGTGCCTAGGTACAGTGCCAGTAATATCTCACTCACTATATGCCACTTCACTAGTGCCTAGGTACAGTGCCAGTAATATCTCACTTACTGTATGCCACTTCACTAATGTCTAGGTATGGTGCTAGTAATATCTCACTCACTATATGCCACTTCACTAATGCCTAGGTATAGTGCTAGTAATATCTCACTCACTATATGCCACTTTACTAATGCCTAGGTATAGTGCTAGTAATATCCCACTCACTATATGCCACTTCACTAATGTCTAGGTACAGTGCCAGTAACATCTCACTTACTGTATGCCACTTCACTAATGCCTAGGTATGGTGCTAGTAATATCTCACTCACTATATGCCACTTTACTAATGCCTAGGTATGGTGCTAGTAATATCTCACTCACTATATGCCACTTCACTAATGCCTAGGTATGGTGCTAGTAATATCTCACTCACTATATGCCACTTCACTAATGTCTAGGTATGGTGCTAGTAATATCTCACTCACTATATGCCACTTCACTAGTGCCTTGGTACAGTGCCAGTAATATCTCACTTACTATATGCCACTTCACTAGTGCCTAGGTACAGTGCCAGTAATATCTCACTCACTATATGCCACTTCACTAGTGCCTAGGTATGGTGCTAGTAATATCCCACTCACTATATGCCACTTCACTAATGCCTAGGTACAGTGCCAGTAATATCTCACTCACTATATGCCACTTCACTAGTGCCTAGGTACAGTGCTAGTAATATCTCACTCACTGTATGCCACTTCACCAGTGCCTAGGTACAGTGCTAGTAATATCTCACTCACTATATGCCACTTCACTAATGTCTAGGTATGGTGCTAGTTTAATATCTCACTCACTATATTCCAGTTCACTAATGCCTAGGTACGGTGCTAATAATATCTCACTCACTATATGCCACTTCACTAGTGCCTAGGTATGGTGCTAGTAATATCCCACGCACTATATGCCAGTTCACTAATGCCTAGGTACGGTGCTAATAATATCTCACTCACTATATGCCACTTCACTAGTGCCTAGGTATGGTGCTAGTAATATCTCACTTACTGTATGCCACTTCACTAATGCCTAGGTACAGTGCCAGTAATATCTCACTCACTATTTGCCACTTCACTAGTGCCTAGGTACAGTGCCAGTAATATCTTAGTTACTATATACCACTTCACTAGTGCCTAGGTACAGTGCCAGTAATATCTCACTCACAATATGCCACTTCACTAATGCCTAGGTATGGTGCTAGTAATATCTCACTTACTGTATGCCACTTCACTAATGCCTAGGTATGGTGCTAGTTTAATATCTCACTCACTATATGCCAGTTCACTAATGCCTAGGTACGATGCTAATAATATCTCACTCACTATATGCCACTTCACTAGTGCCTAGGTACAGTGCCAGTAATATCTCACTCACTATATGCCACTTCACTAGTGCCTAGGTACAGTGCCAGTAATATCTCACTCACTATATGCCACTTCACTAGTGCCTAGGTATGGTGCTAGTAATATCCCTCTCACTATATGCCACTTCACTAATGCCTAGGTACAGTGCCAGTAATATCTCACTCACTATATGCCACTTCACTAGTGCCTAGGTACAGTGCTAGTAATATCTCACTCACTGTATGCCACTTCACCAGTGCCTAGGTACAGTGCTAGTAATATCTCACTGTTTTAGTTTATTAGCATGCTGCATGCTGGGAATTCCTCAGTATTTTCAATTGATATCTTACCATAACGATATATTATATATTGAAGTTCACGGCAGCATTTACATTGGTATATTTTGGTGAATGCAGATATTCTCTTTATGTTATTTGGCCTTGAAACTGAGTACCCTCTCAACTCCCAAGTTCAAGCCAGTAGGTAACCTAGGTACAAGTTCATGTTCAAGTGAAATGTTGCATACAGTCCAGGCTACAAAGTTGGTTACATTGTAGAGAAACAAACCAGAGTCGACTTGGTCATCTAAATATCACAAAGAATTGACACCCAACAACAATATTTACTTTGTCAAAAAAACTATGCATTATTGATGCAAGTTTATTCTTAATTGATTCGTCAACTTTTAAGTACAAGTAACTATAATTTA